CGGTCTTCCGCCTCTAGCCACCGCCCTCAACCTCCCACACCCTTGCCGGCCCTGCCTTTCCTCGCGTCTCTCCGCCCCGGCCGCTGAGTTCGGGTGTAGAACGCAATCCGCGTTCGGAGCCAGGCCTCGCCACTCCGCGGGCCGCTGCCTCTCGGCTAAAACCGGGCGCGTGGGCCGCCGCCGCTCCGGCCGTGGAGCTCCTGGGCGGGCAGTGCCGCTAGGCCCTGCCCCAAGGACACCTGTGAGTTGGAGGGTTTCGGAGCGGGACGCGCCCCGCAGGCCTAGGCGCAGAGGGCGGGGCGCGGGGAACTTTTTGGAAACTACGGTTTTGTTTTGCGTGGGAGATTCCGGCGGTGTCTCTTCCCAGGCTTATTGGCGGCCCCATGGAACTGTGCCTTTTGAAGAATCTTTGGACCGTTTACTTCCCCCCACCCCCCCTCGTTTCTCTTCCTCGTGCCTGCCCTCATCCTAGGACCAAAAGAGGAGTGTTTTGGGGTCCCTGCGTGGTGTGTCACCGGCTGGTTTGAATGGGCCTGGCGTTGCCCTAGTGCTTCCCTGTACGGGACAGTGCACAGAGTAGGACTGTCAGGTCGTTGTCCTTTTCCTGGTCAGCCTTTGTAGACGGGCTCTTCAGTCTCTCTTCCTAGGCCAGAATACGCGGGGTTTATGTTTCTCACAACTTCCAGACTACGGAGTAACCTGTCTGGTTTCAGCTCTCTCAGCCTTTTGTTTCAAATAGTTGTTTTAGTTATCGTATTCCAATAGGGTGAACAACAGAGAAACAGAAACTGTAAAAACTCAAGCTTCCTTGGCAACTCGTTGGCAGATGTGCAGTCTGTATGATTTTGTGAGGAAAGAGAGCCTAACTGAACACTTGAGTTTGTGTGTTTGTATTATAGGTAACATACTATTTTTTTTGTAAATGCCATCATATTGTATGATTTGTTATTATTTTTATTTTTTAAAATATATTTTATTCATTTTTTACAGAGGGGAAGGGAGAGGGATAGAGAGCTAGAAACACCGATGAGAGAGAAACATCGATCAGCTGCCTCCCGCACACCCTCTACTGGGAAGTGCCCGCAACCAAGGTACATGCCCTTGACCGGAATCGAACCCGGGACCCTTCAGTCCGCAGGCCAATGCTCTGTCCACTGAGCCAAACCGGTTAGGGCTGTTATTATTTTTAATTCTTTATTGTTTAAAGTATTACATATAGTGTTGCATATGTCTCCCTTTCCCCCCATTGTTGTATGATTTATCACCTCAAAGCATTACCATGTACTGATGAACGGCCTGAAGGCTCTTCTTATGTACTGATAGCTAATAATAGTAACATTACTTTGTTGATGTGCTAACTCCAATTAAGTCTAACAGATAAGCTCCATGTGAAACAGGTCATTTAAGAAATGTCCATTTCAAACCATGTGACTAGATTATTTTTCAACACTTGGATGGAATCAAATTCTTAATAAAAATGAGTGTCCTTTTCGAAACCTGCAGGCGGTTTTGACAGTGATTTAGGGACTGGACTTTTTGCATTGTGGAGAAAAGAAGTGAGTTTTTGGGATGGATCAAAGGCATTTAGGCAAAGTAGACAGATAGTTTGATTTAGCCACTACAGCTCTGGTTATTATACTAGGTAAATTCTGCTTTCCGAGGAATCCTGATGAAGGAATTATGTAACCTTAGGTGTTCTCTAATTCCTTGGAGGAGAGGTCAAGTTTAGGACAAATTCCAGGTTGTAAGGTACAGGATCAAATATATAGCACTAGGAATTACTTTGTAATCTGATACAGCTTGTCTCAGGTATGATTATTTACAAATAAACCTGTATAGTTTCCCATTGGTTCAACCTTATTCAAGAATCCTTAAGATTCCTTAAGGCCAGAACCAATGCAGTGGTTTTAAAATAGTTCAAAATTTACTGAGGTTATTCTGTTTTATAGTCAAGTACTGATGGAGAAATTTTAACTTTCAAGCTAAGAAAAATGGGATACCACCAATATCTGGATTTTATTTATTATAAAATTTATTATATCTGCTACTACATTTAATGTGAAGTAGTGTTTTATATAGATCATTATCTACTTAGTGAAGCCTTTATTCAGAATATAAAGAAAAAGATTTCAAATTCTGTGGTGATTTCCTTAATTCTGGTGTCATAATAGTTTTGCTGAAACTATTCTGTTTAAAAAATTATCCCTTATATTGGTTAGGATAGATTATTGTTTGGTGACATTTTATCTTCATAAAAATCAGAGTTGAAATGTATTAGAAAAAATGTTAGAAAGAGGAATTGAAATTCATGGACTTTTGGTTTACTTCCTGATTTCTAGGTGGTCATGCAGGATACTCATGTTGGGGAGTGTTGAATGCCACTGGTTACATTCCCTAGGAATGTTCCTCTTTACTTTGTGGCCTGACGTGGTAAGAGCTAAACCTGAAGGCCAAGATTCATACTGGGGGGAACCTGACAAGTATTTTGTTATGGAGGGACTCCAAAAACTTCAGTGGTTTTCTGGGAATTTGGGACAGGTCGAACTCAGTGTTTACCCCAAAGTAAACTTTTGGCTATGGAATCATTGTAAGCTTTTACACCTTGGATAATTTGGTCATTAGTTTTGTAGAGTACTTCTGGGCCATAAAACATCTTTTGACTTATTCTTAGTTTGGGTCTGACCTTATAATGGGATAGGAATAGGTGAGGTCTGGGATATTAAATCACTTCTCATCTTCAAATCTGTATGCATAGGTATAGGACTTTATTTGGGTCTGGAAGAAAAGCAGAGTGGGCAAAAGTAGATTTACAGTTCATATGGAAAATAGTACAATAATTAAATTATCTAATAAAAGAGTAATATGCAAATTAACCATCACTCGCCACAAAGATGGTGGCGCTCATAGTGGCCGGGGCGGGATGCTAGTGGTGTTGCCCTGGCAACGCAAGCCCAGCGTCCTGCCCCGTGGTGGGAGGGGAGGGGCTTCTGGCCCGAGGCCTCGGTGTGACACTGGGCTCACCTTGCTCCCCTCCCCCCACATGAGCCCAGAGTCCGCACCCCGGCTGCACAGAGGGAGGGGAGGGGCCTTGGGCCAGAGGCTGGTGTGAGGGACGCTGGTGTCATTGCAGGCCCCCCCCCCCACCGCACGAATTTCGTGCACCAGGCCTCCACTACAAGAATAAACGTTTATGTATTCACAACCATAAACCTACTTTTGCCCAGCCTTATATTATTTATAGGTATAAACAAAGTGTTCTTGAATTTTAATTATGAACTGATTTTTTTTAAATATAGTTTTTTATTGATTTCAGGGAGGAAGAGAGGAAAGAGAGAGATAGAAACATCAATGATGAGAGAGAATCATTGATTGGCTGCTTCCGGCATGCTCCCCACTGGGAATTAAGTCCAAAACCTGGGCATGTCCCCTGACCGGGAATCGAATAGTGACCTCCTGGTTCATAGTTCCACATTCAACCTGTGAGCCACACTGGCTGAGCTGAACTGATTTAAATAAATTTGAAAATAAAACTTTTTAATTCTAGTTTTTCTGAATATAGATTCCATCCCTTGATCATATCTATAGTATCTGTTTTCTTTTTTTTTAAAATATATTTTATTGATTTTTTACAGAGAGGAAAGGAGAGGGATAGAGAAAAACATTAATGAGAGAGAAACATCGATCAGCTGCCTCCTGCACACTCCCCACTGGGATGTGTTCACAACCAAGGTACATGCCCTTGACCAGAATCGAACCTGGGAGCCTTGAGTCCGCAGGCTGATGCTCTATCCACTGAGCCAAACTGGTTAGGGCAGTATCTGTTTTCTAACAAAATGAAATATCAAGCAAAATTCATTACTGTAATGACTTGTATTTAATGTCATTTTCTCAGGAATCATATGAAATAGGAATTATGTCTTACGGGGATTTGGGTCAGGGAAGCAGAATAAAGAAGGCCAAGAAAGTATGAATCTGGGCAAAGGGTCTAGAACAGTGGTTCTCAACCTTCCTAATGTCGCGACCCCTTAATACAGTTCCTCATGTTGTGGTGACCCCCAATTTCATTGTTACAAATTGAACATAATTAAAGCATAGTGATTAATCACAAAAACAATATGTAATTATATATGTGTTTTCCGATGGTCTTAGGCGACCCCTGTGAAAGGGTCGTTTGACCCCCAAAGGGGTCACGACCCACAGGCTGAGAACTGCTGGTCTAGAACAAGACATTAGCTGCCAGTCTGGAATCTGACATTCTGTGATTATTGAGTGTACTTTTAATAAAGGATTCTCTGGAATCCTGTTTGGTTCAAGATATTTTCCATTTTCTTTGAGTTAAAATCAGTACAGGGTGGTAGATTTTATAGGATTGTTTTTTTAAAAAAAACATATAACAGATAAAAGCCTGCCAAACAAAGTTGATAAACTTATTTTCTGGAGGTAACATTTGCCTTTGGTTCAGATGAGAGTCAGCCACTTGGGATGATATCTGATGGTTGTCAGAGACTCTTACTCAAAATCTGTTTGAACCTGCCCTTGTCAGGTGGCTCAGTTGGTTGGAGTGTGTCATCCCATACACCAAAAGGCTGCAGGTTCGATTCCCCGCCGGGGCACATAAACCTAGCTTTCGGGTTGATCCCCAGTTGGGATGCATGCCAGAGATGGCACATCCACGATTCTCTCTCGAATTAATGTTTCTCGCTTTCTCTGATATATTAAAAAAATATATCCTTGGGTGAAGATATAAAAGCAAAAAACAAAATCTTTTTGAATCTGGACTGGTAAATTTCACTATATGTGTCCAGTTTGGGGAATTTTTATCTTTCAGAATTAAAAAAAAAGGGGGGGACAAAGTTTGTATGAGCTATTTATTTTTTTGCAGATCATTCTCTTTTTCTCTTCTGTTGTCTCCTACACCAGTTTTTCCAACCATCTGGTATCAAACCCCAGAGGCAACTACCATTTTTTTGTAGCTGCTTAAGTGTTTTTTTCTTATGCTCTAAAAAACTTTTATAGCTCACTCTTTGTATTGACATCTGCTGAAAATGAAGATTTAGCACCTTTTTGTACTCTCATCATAAATTGTGATGTATATTGTATAATAATATATGAATATATGTGATCTTTAAATATAATATATAGTAAGTGATATAAGTATATTACTATTTCTGTGTTTTCAGTGTTTGTCTTATTGTAAGAACCAAGTAGGTTAACTAATTATATTTACTTTTTTATATAACCCTTTGAGTGTGTTTTTTCTGTAGTTTAGTAATTTATTTTGAACTGCTGCTTTTCTTTTCTTGTAATTATTTCTGCTCTTCCAGAAGAATTGCTCTCTATGGTCAGATACATTAGGTAACCTATAAGTTAACTTTTTTTTTTTCTCCTTGGATATCTTGAAGCCCTCTGTCCTGCTCTAATTTAAGCTGTTAGCTTCCCTTTACCATCATCCTGGGTAATTTACTTTGTCTCTGCCCTGTGTTGGACCTTCTTTCTCTTCTCAGGTTTTCTTTTTTGATACCTTCCATGTCTAAACATGTTTTTATTTTCCCTTGCATTGGTAGTGTAGCTGGGTATAAAATTATAGCTTGAGAGCATTTTCTTCAGAAATTTGAAGGCATTGACTTCATTGTCTTGTGGTTTCTACTGTTGCTTTAAAGCCATTCTGATTACCAGCCCTTTGTTTATAACATTTTTCGCTGTAACATTTTATGAGCTTCTTTTTCCTGATATTCTGAAATTTCACCATAGTATGCCTTGATATTCATTTATTTTTTTAAACTGTGCTTTGTACTCATTGGGTCCTTTAATGTAAGGATTGGTGTTCTTCAGAATTGGAAATTTTCTTTTTTACTTACTTGGTAATTTCTTTCTCTTTTTTTCCTGGAGCTTCTGTTATGTTGGATGTTGGACCACATAGTTTGATTCTCTTCTATTTTCTCTACTATTTCCTGCTTCCCTTCTGCCCGCATCAGTTTTTCCTTTTTGTTCCTTCTGAGAGATTTCCCCAATATTTTAATTCTCTGTTGGAATTTTGGCTTGCAGTTTTGTAATTTTCAAGAGCCCTTTCTGTTTTTAAGCAGTATACTCTTGTTTTGTATATGCAATGTTTTTTTCATTACTTGTGTTTTTTTTTATTGAGTTTTCATTTATTCTTGATATTATTTCTCTTTATTCTCAGATTTTTTTTCTTTCTGACAGTCCATGATGTCTACTTTAAGTGAGAGCTATTAGAAATCTAATTAGAAGCTCTGAGGGGATGGTGGGCAATTCAATAGTAGGCTTCATTGTATTTGCTAGCTGGCTTAATTTCTCTTTGGTGGAAAACTGTTACTATGTTATATAGGTTTTCTGGTTATTATTTTATATGTGTCTCTTTTCTTTCTCAGTTATTCTATAGATGAGTTTTCTAATTTCCTGCTTTAGGAAGGTGGGCTGAGGATTCTTTTCACTTTGTAGACTTCACTTAATACTTACTTTGAGTTTGTTACCATACCGTACTCTTTGTAAGTTTGCAGCCTCGGGATCATTCATTGCAAAAAAAATAAATATCTAGTCCTGCCTGGGTCAGTGAAGGGTTCTGATTTCTTTGTATACACGTTTTCCTTATTCTTGTGGAACAAGCCCTCTTATATTGGAAGTCCTTTATATATGCTATTTAGACTTTAAAGAAAATCTCACAATTTTATAGTTATTAGGCAATGCAAATTCCTTCCCTTGTTTAATCAGATCTATAATATCTCAGTCATAGGAGTCAGGTTGTTGCATGATGGCGTATACCTTTACATAAGTTATATTGGGAATAATTGTAAGAATCTAGAGTTTCACTAAATGTTTTTCTTAGGTAGTTTCTTTTTATTAGAGTATGTGGTAATAACTTGATTTCTAAAATATTTATTGATATTAGGGTAAATTTATTAGGATACATCAGAAAATTTGAAACATTGTACTATCATTTGAATAATTCTATGGATAATGTAGGTTTAAAATTAATTAGTAAGTTTTTTGTTACCTATAATATAATTTAAGAGATCTGTTAAACTTTTAAAAATAAGTTTGCAAATGAAATTTAAAACTTGGTACTAATTATTTTAAATAGCGGATACTAGTTGTGAAAGAGTTCAGTAACTTTAAGCTATAATAATTTGCCTTTTAAAACTCTTCTAGGTGGAAGAATACATGTTCACTTTTAGTGAACAAGAGCATGTTCCCAAACTCAATTTTGGGTCGCCCACCTTTCACTCCAAACCATCAACAACATAACTTCTTTGCCCTATCACCAACTCTTTATTCACACCAGCAGCTTATAGATGCACAGTTCAACTTTCAGAATGCAGAGTAAGTATGGTAATACTTTGGCCCATATCATTTGTAAATTGTTTTCTACTTGATGCGAAACCTTTTTATATGAAACATTTGAAATTAGACAAAGTGTCATTATGACTTGTTATCTTTTGATCAATGAAATAATTTTTTCTGAAATTGTCTTTTTAAGGAACAAAATTTTTATTACTACTGTTTTTTTGTTTTTGGTAGCTTATCTAGAGCTGTGTCATTACAGCAGTTGACATATGGAAATGTCAGTCCAATTTCCCCATTGTATCGAGGAAGGAAGTAAGTATATCTTAATTATTTTAAAAGAAAATTTTGCATTTCTTAGAACTGTGTAATAATGTACATTTTATTAAAATTGCATGGACAATATGCCCTAAATTTTTTCCCCCCTGGGATCTGTATGATCAGTCCTGTCACAGAATTTTAAAACTTCTGTGTAGCATATAAAGTATTTTAGGGATCCTTCGTTGAATTATTTCTGTCATTATAAGTGTTACATGGCATGAAGCTATATTTCTTCAGAAAACTACTTTTAATTGAGATTTTTAACTAAATCAGATGGCTTTCTGTATTATATGCTAGGGCTGCCATAACAAAGTGTAAGACTGGGTGGCTTAAACAACAGAAATTTATTTTCTCATAATTTTGGAGGCTAGAATTCCAAGATCAAGGTGTTGGGAGGTTTGGCTTAGTCTTAGGCTTTCCTTCTTGGCGTGAGGATGGCTGCCTTCTCTCTGTGTCCTCCCATGGTCATCCCTGTGTCCGTGTTTTCTGTGTTCTAATCTCTTCTTCTAAGGACATTAGTCTTAATTGGATTAGGAACTACCCTAATGACTCATTTTAACTTCTTTAAAGGCTCTATGTCCAAATACAGTCACATTTTGAGATTTTGGGGGTTAGGGCTTAAACATCTGAGTTTTGAGGGAGACACAATTCAGCCCATAACACCTTATTTCTAAAGTTTACTACTATTTGGCTTATCTAAATCTTATACAGATAAGGTTCTATGATAAATGTTATTATAATGAAAATTTCTACATGACATAAAGCTTTCTATAGAGAAGTTCAAGCCAATTAATTTTAACCACTTTGATTAAATGAGATTAATGTATCAATGTAATTATAATAGAGCTTTAGAGGTAGATTATAAAAATATGATTTGGCAATATTTAAATGATATTGCTATTTAAAACATATAAAATATGTTATAATTTTTGTGTCCAGGTAAAAACAACACTACCTAAGAATTACTGATCACATTATGTAGTAGGCATTGTTCTAAGGACTTTACAAATAATAATTTGATTAAATTTCACAGCACTTTATGAAATAGGTATTATTATACCTCTTCTGTTGAGGAGAAAGCTGAAGCACACAGAAGTTAAGCAATTAGTTATTCAAATAAGATTGGCATAACTGGTATGAACCCAGGAGGTCTGGCTCTAGATCCTTTGCTTAGCAGCACTGAGTTGTTCTTCAAAGTTGTCATGTGGAAAGCTATATAATGATGCTAAAAGTACTGACTTCATTCAGATTTTTAATTTTTGGACATTTGCCTTGATAGCCAATTTGTGAATCATGAATGAAAATAAATTCCATTAATTCATAGTTACACATATTTTAAAAACTAAATTGGCATTCTCAATAGAAGATATTTAAAATATAAAGCTCTAAATCAGTGGTCGCCAACCGGTGGTCCATGGACCACTGGTGGTCCGTGAGGTCCAAAAGGTTGGCAACCGCTGCTCTAAATTACTTTTAATGTTTAAAAAATATTAAATATATTTCTTATGTTTTAGCACTGTTCACTTTTACTGAACAGGTATAGGAGTTCCAGGTCTGTCAAGGAGAATTGGGATAATCTCAAAGGAGTATTGCAATAAAAACCTTAAGGTTTCTATGACTGGTAGAATTTTCGAGCTTAAAAAGAATTGGACCATTTCCTATGGCATAAAGTATTATCTACATGAACAACTTAATATATCAATGAAGTAAATTCCTTTATTTTACAATAAATAATTACTTTCTAATGATTTTTTCCTTGCCTTTTATTTTGAAAATTTTTAAGCCTCCAGGAAAATTTAAAGAAAAAATGGCCCAGCCACGTGTGTCTTAGTAGTTGAGCGTTGACCCAGGAAACGAAGTAACCGGTTTGATTCCTGGTCAGGGGATATGCCTGGGTTATGGGCTTGATCCCCAGTAGGGGGTGTGCAGAAGGCAGCCGATTGATGATTCTCTTTCATCATTGATATTCCTATCTCTTTCTCCCTTTCCCTTCCTCTCTGAAATGAATAAGAAAACATTTTTTAAAAAAGAGTAACAAATGAACACCTATATTCTATTAACCTAAATTCACCAATTAAAGTTTTGCTATATTGTTTATTTTTTCTGCCTCTTTCTTTCTCTATACCCACATTTTTTTCCTGAACCATATGTAAATAAGTTGTTGACATCATTTCACTTTACCCCAATACATATCAGTTCATTCCTCCTAAAAACAAAGATATTCTCCTAAATAACCAAAAATACATTGTTCACATCCAAGAAATTTAACAGTAGTATACTAGCACTGTTATCTAAAATGTCGATCATTTTCAAATTTTCTTGTTAAATGTCTTTATGGCTTTTTTAAGAAAGTATCTTTTAATTTAGTTTTTCCTACTGATGAGTAAGAACATAGGTGAACTCAAAGAGCCTTTTTAAAATTTATAGCACTCAGTTCACTTAATTTATTCTCTTCATGTTAGAGTTTGGATCTTTTGTTGTTAGTGGTTCTATAAATACTAGTAGAAACTTTCCTACAAAGTTTTCACTCCTGAGGTGAAATATTGGGGCAGTTCAAAAGTAGGAGACTAACCTTTGTATACAGGCTGTCCCCTCAAAAATGTATACATACTTTAACAGCTGATAGCTCAATTTTGAAAACGAAATGTATTTTAATAAACACTGCCTTTATAATTATTCAAAGTGTGTGTATACATTTTTTGGGGACACCCTATACATGTAGTTTGTTTTTTTATACGTATTTTCCCCATAAGGTGTTTATCTATTGCATCTTTTGTGCTGAAGATGGATATTTTAAGATTCACATAGAGCTAATATTGTGGACTTGCTGAAAATGTCAGTATTGTCATGTTATTTTTACATTCTTAATTGTTTTCTATTTGTTATCAGAAAGTTATACCTGTAATTACTAAGGTATATTGCTTGTTTTCAGGAGATTAAGCGATGAAAAAAACCTTCCTCTTGACGGTAAACGGCAACGTTTCCATTCACCCCACCAAGAGCCAACTATAATTAACCACCTAGTGCCTTTATCAGGTGATAGAAGATACTCAATGCCTCCGTTGTTTCATACAAACTATGTACCAGATATAGTCAGATGTGTTCCACCTTTTCGAGAACTACCAATTTTAGAACCTAGAGAAATCACACTGCCTGAGGCCAAAGATAAGGTAATTATGTAGATTTTAGTTTTACATTTTGGGACGTGAATATAAATAATGTATTAAAAGTATAAAAAATATCTATTGTCTTGGATTGAGTAGAACATGCATTATTTGCACTGTTTAAAGTACTGTTCAACAGAGTTTTCTGTTGAAATTTGACACTTTGCTTTTTTTTCCTTGGGAATGCAAATTTCATATTTCATATTAGGAAATGAGAGATTCTCTATTTCATAAGAATCTGTGATTAGAGCCAAATCATTTGAGTTCTTAGTTTAGAGAACTCTGTTGTTACTTATTGACAGAAAAACAAATTTTCATATGAATATTTTAATAAAGTATTAAAAAGCATGTTCTTTTGGGATGTTTGTGTGTCGTGAGGTTTTTGAATGTCAAATATAGAGAATCCAGGAGTAATAGGAAATAATACATTCAAGTCAAGAAAGATTTTTTAGAAACATTATTTGTAAAAACACACATTTCAAATAAATAGAATTAAGCTATTTAAATAATAATTCTTAGAAAATGACACTATCTGCATTCTCTTGGATTGCCTATGGCTTATATTTGCTGTTTTTGCATTTTAAAAGCTGCTTCACTCTTGAAAAATATGAATTTGTATACTAAGGAGAATGAACCTGAAGAGAGTATAGTGACTTTGTATTATTCATCTTGGGTTTCTAGCAACCAGCATAGCCTGGAACATAGTAAGTGTACAGAAAATGTTGAGTCAAAAAAGTAACACTTGCTTCATTCCTTAGTTGTGCTACTTTGTATTAATTCTTTTATGTACAATTGAGATAAAGTTGTACATAAAATTCACTCTTTAAACTTTAAGTGTATGATTCATTGGTTTTTAGTATATTCACAGAGTTATGAAACCATCACCACTAGATAGTACCTTTTCATCACTCCCAAAAGAAATCATGTATTCCAGTAGCAGTCCCTTCCCTTTAGCCCCTGGCAACCACTAGTCAAAGTTTTTTTTTGTTTTGTTTTTGTTTTTATCTCTGTGGATTTGTCTGTTTTGGAAATTCCATATAAATGGAATCATGCTATATGTGGTTCTGCTTAACTTAGCATGTTTTTAAGGTTCATCCAGGTCACTCAGCATGTATCAGTTCTTTATTCTTTTTTGTAGCTGAATAATAATCCATTGTATAGGTATATCCTATTTTATTTATGCAATCCTCAGTTGATAGACTTTTGACCTGTTTCCATTTTTAAGCTATCCTGAATAATGTTGCTATGAAAATCTGTGTACAGGTTTTTGTGTGGACATATTTTCATTTCTCTTGAGTAAATACCTAGAAGTGAAAATGCTGGGTTATATGGAAATTATGTATAACTTTCTGAGGAACTGACAAAGTGTTTTCTGAAGTGGTTGCACCATTTTAAAATATATTTTATTGATTTTTTAACAGAGAGGAAGGGAGAGGGATAGAGAGTTAGAAACATCGATGAGAGAGAAACATCGATCAGCTGCCTCCTGCACATCTCCTACTGGGGATGTGCCCACAACCAAGGTACATGCCCTTGACTGGAATCGAACCTGGGACCTTTCAGTCCGCAAGCCGACGCTCTATCCACTGAGCCAAACCGGTTTCGGCTGGTTGCACCATTTTACATTCCCACTAGCAGTGGATGAGCTTTCCAATTTCTCCACTTTCTTGTCAACAGTTGCTGTTGTCTATCTTTTTTAATATAGCCATTCAAATGGTTGTGAAATGATGTCTCATTAGAATTTTTATTTGATTTCCTAATGATTAATGATGTTGATAATTTTTTGTTTTTGATTAAAATACGTTTTTATTGATATTAGAGGAAGAGAGATAGAAACATCGATGAGAGAGAGACATCGTTTGGCTGCCTCCTTCATGCCCCTTATTGGGGGTGGTGTCCGAAACCTGGGTGGGCATGTGCCCTGACTGGGAATCAGACTGGTGGACCTCTTGGTGCATGGGTTGACACTCAACCACTGAATCACATTGGTTGGGCTGATCATCTTTTCATTTGCATGTTGGCCATATGTTTATCTTCTTTGGAGAACTGCCTATTCTTTAATGGGGTTTATTCTCTTTTTGTTTTTTTATAAATATGTTTTATAGAGAGAGGGATAAGGAGATAGAAATATAGATGAAAGAGAAATATTGATCAGCTGCTTCCTTCATGCCCCTTACTGAGCTCACTACCCAGGCATGTGCCCTGATTAGGAATCGAACCAGTGACCTCTTGGTTCATGGGTTGATGCTCAACCACTGAGCCACACTGGTTGGGCTCTTTTTGAGTTTTAAGATTTCTTTATATATTATGAATACTAGACCCTTATCAGATATTTGATTTGCAGATATAGTCTCTCATTCTGAGGTTTGTCTTTTTACTTTCTTTTTTAAATTTACTTTTATTATTATATTTCAGTAAATTTTTTATGAGGCCTTATAGATTTAGAGTGTTTTCCCCAACCTGGTTTTTCTGTATGTCCTGTTCTTGGTCAAAGAACATGCACGGGTTGTGGGCTTGACCCCCAGTGTGGGGCGTGCAGGAGGCAGCCAATCAATGATTCTCTCTCATCATTGATGTTTCTATCTCTTTCTCCCTCTCCCTTTCTATCTGAAATCAATAATATATATCTCCCCAAAAATAAAACAAAAAAATACTATTCTTAGCTCATGTGCCATCCAAAAACAGCAACCGAAGTTTGGAGTCAGCAGAACCATGGATTATACTTATTATGAATTATCTGTGACTATGCTTTTCTGTGATTTGTGATACTTTACCTTTTAACAGTTAGTAATTATTTCAGTTACTAAGTAACCATTGTTATTTAGGTAACAGTAGTTTTTATTGTAAAGTGTTAAGGAGAAAATATGTATTCATCTTTAAAATACTGTTGGTAGTATTGTTTTACACTTCTCACTGTGGTAGTTATACATTTCTGAACAAATTTTTTTACTTTTTTTGTGGTGGATTAAAGTTGAGTCAGCAGATACTGGAGTTATTTGAAGCATGTCAGCAGCAAGTAAGTGACTTAAAGAAGAAAGAACTTTGTAGAGCACAACTGCAGAGAGAAATTCAGCTATTATTTCCACGTATGTTTCCCTGTTTTTCATGCCCATTATGTATATGAATTTCTGTTTTAAATTAAAAATAATACCTTATAATTCTCTTCTGTTTCTCTAGAAAGCAGACTTTTTTTGGTTGGGTCCTCTTTAAATGGATTTGGTACCCGGAGCAGTGATGGTGATTTATGTCTAGTTGTTAAAGACGAACCAGTAAGTAAAGAAACATTTATTCTCATATTAAGTCATTTAAGAAATTTTATACAAAAGTCGTTGAGGAAAATAATTTGTTTTATTTTAATTACTCTTTGGATTCTTTGTTTATAGTAATTAAAGGAAACCCAAGAAATACTACTTTTTCTCTTAAAGTGTTTGTACAATAAGTATAACAGGAATTTTAGCATTAATTTATTTTTAAGTTGTTAAAGGGAGATGGCTTCACTCTTTCAAAAGAGCTCTGTCTCTTTTGAATAATTATTGGGTTAGATATGTTGCTAGGATGCAGCAAAGAAGAGCATATGTCAGTATTTTCTTTTTCTTTTTTAAATATATTTTTATTGATTTCAGAGAGAGGAAGGTAGAGGGTGAGAGAGATAGAAACATCAATAATGAGAGGGAATCATTGATTGGCTGCCTCCTGCACACCCCCTACTGGGAATCGAGCCCATAACCCAGGCATGAGCCCTTGACCAGAATGGAACCTGTGACCCTTCAGTCCACAGGCTGATACTCTATCCACTGACCAAACTGGCTAGGGCCTGAAAACCGATTTCAGAGAGAGGAAGGTAGAGGGTGAGAGAGATAGAAACATCAATAATGAGAGGGAATCATTGATTGGCTGCCTCCTGCACACCCCCTACTGGGAATCGAGCCCATAACCCAGGCATGAGCCCTTGACCAGAATGGAACCTGTGACCCTTCAGTCCACAGGCTGATACTCTATCCACTGACCAAACCAGCTAGAGCAGTATTATTTTCTTGATATATTTTCTTTCCATATGAGTTTTCAGTGGTTCTATTTTTAGTCTTTTTTTTACTACCTTGAAAATGCAATGGGGTTTGGAGTTCTCATTGGGGAATACAAAAAAAGTGGTTTCACTGAAATTTAAAATAAAGCTATTTTGATATATTCTGATATTTTGGCTTTGTTTCCTTTATTTTTATTAAATTTTGTTATTTAGTATTAGGTTTATTTGAATTTCCTTTTAACTAATACTCTTGTGTATCCTTAATACAACAGTAATTGCTAACCTGAAGCAGCCTCTTTAATATGCTGAGATCCTTTCGGAATTATCGAGGATTAAATTAATTTCAGTATAATTTAAAAGGCCTCATTATAGTCTACCTCTTTAAAAAGACAAGAAAAATCTATTGAATGGTAATATATATTTTAACTATATTCCTATTATTCCACTAATAAAATTGGCTTCTAGTTACTGCAAATCAGAAAAAGATTTACTTCAGGAAAGAAACTATTTTAGGCTTTGAAATCATACAAAGGAAACTTTAAAAAAGTTCAGAAATAATAAATGTAGTGGACTACACTAGAGCTTTAACACTTTCTTTCATGTAATTATACTATACTCAGACACATCCCACTAACCTTTTAGTCTTGGTCGCGTGTCTAAATCATGACACAGCTTGTACTGAGACACCATAGATTTGAACCTTATCCTTAATCTATTATGGGGAAATAAAACATGTTATAAAAAGTTAAAATTAGGTTTATTTTTCTTGAAGAACATTGCTTTTTGTACATTTATACTAAAGGAAAACATGGCATATATGTCTCTTTTAATATTTCTTTTGAAATTTTCCATTAGGTTTAAAATCAGGAATTGACTTAGAAATTGTGATGTGAAAGACAACAAAAACTTTGACTTTTCCTATGATGCAATTTAATCTATATTGAAAAGTAACTCCAAAGAAAAGTATACTTTATATGCTTTCTCTTTGTTGAGATACATTAAGAAAATAAAACACTAAATTAAGAAAGATAATGAAAAAACACTTTATTTTTAACTTTTCAGTGTTTTTTTCAGGTAAATCAGAAGACTGAAGCACGGCATATACTCACCTTAGTCCATAAACACTTCTGTACTAGACTTTGTAAGTCGAATATGCCTCAAGTTTATATGTCATCTGACATTAACTATTTACTTAAAATGTCTCACTTTATTTTCTGGTAAGAATTGTTTATTTTCTGGTCAGGATAGGTATTACGTGGATCCTTCTTTCCAAATGAATTCCCTTTTAGTCTTTATTAAGAAGAGTAACCATTTATTCAACAATTCTTCATTGAATTCATTTACAAATATCACTGGTGCAGCGGAGAACTCAGATATACAAGCTTCAGTTCTTTTTCTCAAAAAAGAACTTGTTAGGGAAGCTGAGGCATGGACTACAAATAGCAGTAATGCAAAATATCTATAAAGACATAAGAGTGATGCAGATAAAGTCTTACTTAGGTGAGGGAGAGAATTTCATCTGTTTTGCAATGACATGGAATTTATGACATCAGATTTTAAAAATATGATCACTGAACATGAAGCCCAAATGAATTACTCCAATAGAAAGTAGAATTGTTGATGGACAATGTTATTTTTAATAGGATTAGAATGATAAATATTAAATATGGAAGGGACCTTAGAGGTCATCTAACTCAAATGAAAGTTTTCTTTTTCTTTTCCTTTTTATGGCTTTTAATAATTAAGAAGACCGGTGATCATGGGATCAGTAACTTGCAGGAGTATAGTTGGTTTTTGTTGGTATTAGAACTTTTACTTGGAACTTGAAACTTTTAAGTCCTTATTTTTCACTAAATTTCACTGAATTTTTACATATAAATTCTATTTGAAGCTTAATATATTTTATTTTGGTGATAAAGCATTATAAAAAATTTTTTATAAAAATATTTTTATTGATTCTTAGAGGGAGAGGAAGGAGAGGGAGAGAGAAAGATCAACTAGAGAGCGAAACTTCTATCAGCGGCCTCCTGCACGCCTCCTACCTGGGGTTGAGCCTGCATGTGCCCTGATTGGGAATCAAACAGGCAACTTTTTGGTGCACAGGACAATCCCAACCAACTGAGCCACACCAGCCTGGGCACAGAAATGTTTTGTTTTTAAAAAATCGGGTGTTATATTTTCTTTAGTTGAAACATTAGGAAATGGCTCATTTGGGAAAGTTTGCAGAGTTTCTCATTTATGCATTTCTGTATTTCCCCAAATTTCTATAATGAATGATATATTACTTTGAACTCAGAAAAAAAAATCTTTTAAACTTTGATGGAGTAAAAAAAAATGTAGATAATGTGCTTCTCCCCTTAGAGATCATACTTATTTGAATGTGTCACCATTCCATGTGTCACGTTGCAAGCATTTCCACATTTAAGATTCTGTACCTATGTTACGACTGCCGTAACATCTTGCCATGTGCTGGACCAGAATTTAGCCATCCCACTGCTGCTAACTTAGATATTTTTCATGTTTAAAATGCTCTGATGAACTTCATTATCAATGTTGTTGAACATTGGATCATATTTCTGAAAATAACTTGAATATAAAGCCCTTAAAATGGTATTAGAAATTCCATTCTTAGAAGAATTCTTTAATGCCTTTCTTTGGTTTCTTTCTCAAAGACTATGTTTTCTTAAATGATCTTAGCTTAGTAAAGTACTATTTTTAAAAAATTATACATTGGTACACTATGAATTTGATAAGTATTTGCAGATATTGACATCTTTTATCCTTTAGCTGGCTACATTGAGAGACCTCAGCTGATTCGAGCAAAAGTGCCAATTGTGAAGTTCAGGGATAAAGTCAGGTAATAATTACCTAGTTCCCTTTTTTTCAGTTGCTTTAAATTTTAGATATTCTTTTGATGTAGATAATTAAGAAATGTGTACTATAACGTAATAGCTTGTCTTCATTAGTTTTTTTTTCTTCATTAGTTTTTGAAATTCACTTAAGTCTTTGAAATAATTTTTGAAAATGGTCTCACCACTTTTTCATGGTTAACTATGTAGTTGTTCTGCTTCAAATTTTGAGTATTTGAGACTACCCAATTTAAAGAATGTATGCATATTTATGTTTCAGATTTTTTTAAATGATCCCTTGCCTTTTGGAAATATAATTAATGTATTAAGAAAATATCTTAATTGATGAAATTTTATGTGTCAAAGGGGTTATAAATCTGTATATTCTACCTGCCTGGGTTCTGAATTTCTTATGGGTATTGGAATTAGACTCTTTTAGATAATATCTGACTGAAATATAAATATTAGATGTTGACTCTTTCCTTGATTAAAAAATGATTTGTTGTTTTCTGAAAAATAGATAGGATTCTGATGTTAGGTTTTTCTAGCTCAGTTTTATAAAACTAACATTGAAATATAAGTGTAAGTATATACACAGCTGATCTTCATTAGTCATGGATTCCATATTTGTGAAATCTTCTTGATGAAATTTATTTTGTAATTCCTCATTCCCCTAAATTAATTCTTTTACCACTTTCATGGTCATTCATAGACATGTGCAAATTTGGAAAATTTTGAGTCACCCAATGCACACATTCCTAGCTAAGGTTAAACAATATGATACTTTGCCTTCTTGTTTCAGCTTTCATAACTGTCCTTTTTGCAGTCTAGTTAGTACCATGTTTTTTACTTTTTTGTGCTTTTTGTAAGTGGATTTGCTGCTTAAAATGGCCCCATGTATAGTGTTTCTGTGTACAAAGCTGTGATTGTCCTCATGGGCAAAATACATGGTTTAGATATGCTTTGTTCAGGCATGAGTTATAATGCTCTTGGCCGTGATTTCACTGTTAGTGAATCAACAACTTATTAAATAAGGTGTCTTTAAACAGAAATGCACATAGAAATTAGTTACATATTGATCAGTTGATGAAAATGTGACTGAAGGTTTGTGGAAACATGACTTTATTCCCCTAGGAGTTATGGTTTAGTAGTCACTAATTGGCTGTTTGCAATGACTTTATTTATTTATTTTTTTTAATTTAAATCTTTATTGTTCAGATTATTACATTTGTTCCTCTTTTTTCCCCCATAACTCCCCTCCTCCCAGTTCCCGCCCCACCCCCGCCCTCACTCCCCACCCACTGTCCTCATCCATAGGTGCACGATTTTATTCCAGTCTCTTCCCGCATCTCCCACACCCCTTTCCCCCCCTAGAATAGTCAGTCCATTCCCTTCTTTGTCTC